GGCGGGAAATTTTGGCAGTGGCCTCCAGAGTTGAAGATCTATTCATACCCCACCGGGTATGTATCCTCACCTGATCGGGTGTGTGAGATATTTTTTTTTTTACAGACACACTCTATGAAAATAATACTAGAAAACATACCTGAAATGGGTTGCCTCCCATGAAGCGCTTCGTTTAACGTCGTGGCTCGACGATGTCTTTGTTGCTCCTTCTTTTGGGTTGAAAACCCTCAAAGAAGGGTTTTAATCTCTGTCTGTTCACCTTGAGCACCTCTCCCGTCTCCAGGTCTTCAATTTCCACCGCCCCGTGTGGATATATTTTGACAACTTTGTATGGTCTAGTCCAACGGGATCTCAGTTTTCTCGGAAATAGACGAAGGCGTGATTGAAATAGGAGGACTTTATCATCAAGCTTAAAGTCCTTTCTTATGATCATTTTGTTGTGCCACTCCTTCGTCTTTCGTTTGTATATTTCCGCAGTTATAAGAATCCAAACGAAGTTCTTCCAATTCTTGCAATTGGAGTTTCCTATACACACCGGCCTCGTCAAGATTGATGTTGAATTCTTTTACTGTCCAATATGACTTGTGTTCAAGCTCTACGGGAAGATGACAAGCTTTGCCAAACACAAGTCTATAAAGGGACATACCAATCGGACTTTTGTAGGCAGTTCGGTATGCCCGTAGCGCGTCATCAATGCGTATACTCCAATCCTTCTGGTTCGGGTTCACTGTTTTCTGGAGTATAGATTTCAACTCCCTGTTTGAGGTTTCCGCTTGGCCATTGGTTTGAGGGTGGTAAGCGGTAGAGATCTTGTGAGTCACACCATATGTGTGCCTCGATCGCTTATTAAAATTCGAGGGACCTCAAACCTTGAAGATATGTGTGATTTGAGAAAATACTCAAATTTGATAAAAACTGAATACATAAAGAGAGAGGAATGATCCTGTCCAGCCGGAGGGACAGGATCTTCCGTCCGGCCGCCGCCTTTTGGGGCGGTTCCCGGTGGAGTTTTTTGATGAAATTTTTATGGAATGTTCCTCATCAAGTCTAGTTTATCCACAAAACATTTCAGCTAAAAATTCGATCGGGAAGGTAGTCAAATAATTTTTTGAAGATAACTGCTCCAACTTAAACATATAAAACGCAGTTATGTTTCAAAAAATTATTTGACTGCCTTCCCAATCGTATTTTTAGCTGCATTGTTTTGTGGATAAACTAGACTTGATGAGGAACATTCCATAAAAATTTCATCAAAAAACTCCACCGGGAACCGCCCCAAAAGGCGGCGGCCGGACGGAAGATCTTGTCCCTCCGGCTGGACAGGATCTTTTCCGCATAAAGAGATATAGGGATATAGACCTAAATAGGATTAAAAGTTTCCACCGGAGTAGTCGCCGACATCAGGCCGACGAGTAATCTCCTCCTCCGATCCTCCTCTTCCACCTTTCTCCATCTCTTCCTCTGTGTTTGCGAATTTCTTCGGTGTCGTATGTCTGCTTTTGTGAGCTCGTCTTAGTGCTAGTAGCACTGTAGAAGTAAGAAAGGATTGCCGCATCAAAAGAATAGATTCTCCTCACTGTAGCAATGTTGTAGACTTGTAGTAGTTGCTTTTTGTAGTTGGCTTACATCTCCATTTTTATTTTTTATTTGCAAATTCATTTAGTGCAAGTAATACAGATTATTTTGTACGGAGTATTCAAATACTAGTATTAATTTGGGGGAAACTAATTAAAATACCCCAAACTTTGAAGGGTGTGAGATGAATACCCGAACTTGTATATGTAATTTAAATACCCCAAACTTTATATAAGAAGTTATTTTAGCACAATAGTCAAGTATTATTTCTTTCAAAATTAAAATGTAAATTTATGGTGTTAATTGCATAATTTAATTTTTATTATTATTTGTGAAAATACAATTAACATTCTAAACTTCCACTTCCCCAAAATAAATAATGTTACCCTCAATCTATACAATTGCAACACTTTAATTTGCTATATATTTTAAATTCTGCAATTAACCCCATAAATTCATATTTTTGAAAAAAATAATACATGAAAATGGTGCTGTTGGGTTAATGGCCCAAGCCGAGGTCCGGCCCATTAACCCCTTTTTTACCGGACGCACGTCCAGTTAGAACACCAGGCTGGCCGCAGGCCCATGTTCCTTGGGAAGGGACGAACGTCTGGAATTGGGGGGTTCAGGTTCAACGGCCCATCGCGACGAGCGTCTATGCAGGGACAAGGAGCAGGACCACGGGCCATCAGGGATGACGACGATCGTCCCCAGAGCAAGCCTATAATTATCGGAGGGAATCCAGTCCACAGGGTGAGAATCCGTTAAGGCCAGGAGACGAACAGCCGAAGCCTCTTGAGGGGCACTTGGGGCAATCCAGCTCGCTTCCCGGGCGGACGAACGTCCCTACTATTTAGGCGGGAAACCTAGATTCTGGCGGGAAGTGCATTTAATGCTGAAGATTTGGTGGTTGGGACACCAGCGGTCCACAGGCCTCCACGTCAGCATAGCCACCTGCCCATTGGCGGGTATAAATAGGAGCATTTATTTCATTATAAAGGGTTGGCTACTTTCTATTCTTAGCAGGCTAGCTATAGCATTCTTACTCGCAGCATTTCTACTGCCTTGTAAGACGAACGGCCGGCGGAGCCTTAGCAAAAAGTATTGTATTAGGGAGTTATTAAGAGATAATAATACCTAATCATTTACTTGCTACTTCTTGCTCTCTTTAATTCATACCATCTGCTTGTTGGGCTAGTTTACTCACGCACTCCACTCGAAATCCCTGGGCTTACGTGTTGGACCCGGGGGTTGAAGGAATAAACATCAACAGGTGCAAAAATAACATTTTATATAAAGTTTGGGGTATTTAAATTACATGTGCAAGTTTGGTGTGTTTACCTCACACCCATTTAAAGTTCGTTGTAGTTTTATTATTTTTCCCTTAATTTGGACATGGTTAGTACCTTAACTTAGAGGCCGTTAGTAACTTAATTTGGACACACCCCTTTAACGGCAACACTGTTTTTCGTCTTATCAGGTTTATCGGCCATTTTTTTTTCACCAAACAAATAATTTTTGTTTTCGCGCGTTGAATTGTGTAATATGCAGAAAAAGTAAGGTTGAAGTTACTTTTCTGGCTATATTGGTTGCAGTTACTGTAGACGGCCATTTTAGCTATTTTTACATATGAATTTTTCTTTATTTTATTAATAAATATATTTTAAAAATATTTTTTTCTTAAATCAGTAGAATCAGCAAATGCAGCCACTTCAACTAGAACTTCATAAATTTAAGCAGAATCGGCCAATTTTCGTGCTCCCAAATGGGCTTTTATTGTTATAATGTCGCAAAATTTTCATCAAACATTATTGTTATCAAAAACATTATCAGAATAAATAATATCACAAAATTGTGAACATTGTCAAAATATTGGGTAAATTAATATCACAATGGCGGGAAAATGGGACAATGTCATAAAAATGTCACAATTTATCAATGTTGCCAAAAGAATCACAAAGCCAAAAATAATGACAATGTTACTGGCAATGCAACTGACTGAAATATTGCAATAAAAAACATTATTACAAAAGGTAATGATGGATAGTGTACCCGGGGGTAGCTTATCCGAGAGGTTATTGTGAGAATAACCTAGAGAGAAGTCAGAGCAAACAAGTAAGAGAGAGAGAGTCGATTGTATTAATGAACTCGAGATGTTCTGGTCCTTTACAAGAAGAATAGGGTCTGCTATTTATAGCAGCAATAAATGCGATGAGAGTACACGTGTCAGTAATCTAACGGCCGAGGGGTCACCTCAATCGGGGTGGCACCAGCACTCGCATATGCACCGCATTAAATGCGGTGGTTGGACGTGACGTCGCATTAAATGTGGTGGTTGCTTGTCTCCAAAGGAATCTTCGATGATTTGAGCTGTTAGCCGAAGGCTCTCCCTGCGGCCGAGGGCTCTGTTCAGCCGAAGGCTTGGCATGGCCGAAGGCTCCCTGATGCCGAGGGCACGGAAATGCCGAAGGCTCTTGATTTGTGCCATTTTCTCTCAGTAGCTTCGTATGCTCGAATCTGGCTTCCCTGTGAGTTTTGGAGCCTTCGGCCATATTGCTGAAGGAGCTACCCTAGGTGCACCGTGGGCTCCTTTGAGCTTGGGCCGCCGTGCTTTGGGCTTCATGCGCTTCTTGGGCCTGTTGGGCCTGTGTTGGAGTAGCAGGAGTCTGTGGGCCGGAGGTTCCCGGGCCATATACTCCATCAGGTAAAGTTTATGACACTCCATGACATTGTATAAAATCAACGGTTTGATTTAATGTCATCGACTGAAATATTACAATAAAAAAAATCTTGTGACAATGACATGGTAAACGCTATAAAAAAGAACATACAATTCAATGTCAATATCAATGTCATAAAAATGAAATAGCCTTTATAGTGTCAATGTATTACAATGTCATTGTATGACATTGTAATATAAATGTCAATATATGAAAATATAATAATTAATGTCATACATGAGAGTGTAATATACAATGTCTTATATGACGATGTAATCTCACATGATATGACTATGTAATGATATCATTGTTTGAAAGTTAATGTCACTGATTGAATAAAAACAAAACATGAAGTCAAAAAACGAAAAATTAAAAGGAAAATGCTTAATGTACATTAGTTGTACACAAAACCCCCCTAGTTGCCTCTGTATACAGGCAATTCGTTAAAACAGGGGCAGGAGTTGATGTCAAATTGTCTGTGTACACAGACAATGTACACATTTTATGTACATCTTGTGTACACCAAGAGTGAGTAAAGGGGAAGGAACCGGGAAATTCTTTAAATTTGAATTTCTAGAGTGAGGTTTTGCGGATAATATACTCTTCGTTGCATAATTCTTTAAATTTGAATTACTTGATAAAAAGCACGTATTATTTTGACTTGAATTCCTTGATATATAATTTAAAACGATAATTTATAGTTGATGTGATTCAAGCCAAAGGTTATTTATGATCAGCAACTGGTAAGGCATTGACGTATATTCATTTATTTTGAAATGGGCCTTATACAAAAGTAAGAAGCTAGACTAAAATGGGGATCGGGGATAGCAGAGAACTTGGTAAAATTTATAGATTTTCACATCGGCTTTTATTTAAGAAGCTGTGGAATCCCATCAGTTGTTTGGTTGCCGTTCAAAGCCAGCTTTTTCTTTTGTGCTTCTGTGGGCAACTTGATATGAGTAGCCAAACCCAACTTTTGGAGTGTCCAAATGGTGCACCAAGTTGTATCAAGCTGCCACCATTCTAGACCATGCCTAGCTGAGTGCTCAAAGGCATGATGGTTATTATGCCACCCTTCTCCAAATGTGACCAATGCCACTAACCTGAGAATTTATTTAGCACTCCCATAAATATTTTTTGTTCAAATTTAATTGGCTAGGTCACATTATTTAGAAAAATTAAACAACTAACCAATTATTTCTAGATAGGTCGTTGGTTTTCCAAGGTTGATTTCCCCATATGTGACACGCAGAGTTCACAAGAAATGTCACGTGATATCCCCATGTACCTCTCACTCCCTGTATATAATAAAAAGCAGCATAAAATTAAACCACTCAGTATATGTTAAAGTATTTGTCCTAACAAGAAAAATTGTTTTATTTGGAGTATTTGTTTATGTATCGAGTATTTATGAAGAATATTATAGATATTAAAAAATGACACCTACATTCTAATAAAAATGTCATGTAATAAATAATTTTGTTACTTAAATTACGCTCTATGACTCTATGAGCAAGTAAAGTTACATCACTAAAGTTTATACACAGACTGATATTTTGGATAGATCTGATTTGTTGAAAGTTTATATACTGATCAATTTTATTTTTGATCAGATTTGATTTTAAACTAATCTCTATGAAAGTGAAAACCTTATACTAAGCCAGTTTTATCAATAAGAGGTTAAATCAATATTTAAGATTATGGGCTACTTCTGAAAGATTGAAATAGAAATGTATATGCATACCAGGCCCCAAACAACATAAGGAAATCCGCCAATGGCATAAAGCAATACTCCAAGTATAGTAGGATGAATAGTGTAGGTCTGTTGGAGGAACTTGTAGAATGGTTGATTCTCCAAATCTGCTACATTTGTTTGCTTTTCACTCTGCATTCGCCAAAAACCAAACAATGGGCATGAGCTAGCAGATTGTGATGATTATTATAAATAAATAAATAAATAAATAAATAAATAAATAAATAAATAAATAAATAAATAAATAAATAAATAAATAAATAAATAAATAAATAAATAAATAAATAAATAAATAAATAAATAAATAAATAAATAAATAAATAAATAAATAAATAAATAAATAAATAAATAAATAAATAAATAAATAAATAAATAAATAAATAAATAAATAAATAAATAAATAAATAAATAAATAAATAAATAAATAAATAAATAAATAAATAAATAAATAAATAAATAAATAAATAAATAAATAAAAATGTTACCCTTTCTTTTTCTGATTCAACATCAAAGATCCATCCCACGTGACTGAACCAAAATCCTTCAAGGGGACTGTGAGGGTCTTTCATAGAATCGGTATATTTGTGGTGGTATCTATGAGTACTCACCCAACCAATTGGATCCCCCTATACAAAAATTAACAAATTATTGATTGGTAGAGAAAAGCTTAACTAGTACATACTCCTTCCGTCGTGTTAAGATTGTCTTCTCTTATTTTTTCAGAAAATCTCACTAACATCATTTTACACCAAATTTTATAAAGTCGTGTGACTCTAAATTATTTCTATTTATTCTTATTTTATGAATTCAATATCTAACACAAACATAAACTCACGTTTTCCAATAGCGTAAGTCATGAGTACTAAATAACAATCAAATCACAGTCAAATCCGGCTCTAATAGTCAAACACTAAATTAACTAATGCAAATTCATTCTAAATGATCAGTCTGGTCCAAACAACATCCCTAAATGTCATTACCTTTGTCCTGTATGAATGTCTTATTAACAAATATTAATAAAAGAAAATGACATGGACCACATGTTTCTTGTCAAAAAAAGAAAATATAACATTATTTAGGAATAATCTAGAAAAAGAAAAGAGACAACCAAAATGAGATAGGGAGAGTAATAATATATATATATATATATATATATATATATATATATATATATATATATAGAGGAATGCTGAGGTCCATCCGGAGGGACGGGAGGCTCCGTCCGAACTTTATTGTTTGGAGTGGTTCCCAGTGGAATTGTTTGATGAAAATTTTTGAGCATGTTCCTCATCAAGTCTAGTTTATCCATACCAAATTTCAGCTCAAAATTCGATCGGGAAGGCATTCAAATAAATTCTTGAAACATACTGCACTTTATATGTGCACAGAATGTGCAGTATGTTTCAAGAATTTATTTGAATGCCTTCCCGATTGAATTTTGCGCTGAAATTTGGTATGGATAAACTAGACTTGATGAGGAACATGCTCAAAAATTTTCAATCAAAAAATTCCACCAGGAACCGCCCCAAACAGTAAAGTTCCGACGGAGCCTCCCGTCCCTCCGGATGGACCTGATCTTTTCTGTGTATATATATATATGTATATATACTCCCTCCGGTTCTAAATAAACTTCACACTTTCCTTTTCGGGACGGTCCAAAATAAACTTCACACTTCCTTATTTCCTTATTTGGCAAAGAAATCTACATCAAAACAGTGTTAAAACAGTGCTAAACAGTGCCAAACAGTGTCTCAACAGTGCCAAATAGTGTCTCAACAGTGTACTCTACAGTAAAGTCAACTTTATTTCCTTAATAACTGTGAAGTCAAACACTGAAGTTTAAAAAGAACCGGAGGGAGTATATATATATATGTATGTATGTATGTATGTATGTATATATATGTATATATATATATATATATATATATATATATATATATATATGTATGTATGTATGGAGTCCCGTTCCTATCAGGAGCTCCTGAAGAGAAGCCTCGTGCAGACAAGCCCATCAGAGGGTCTTCCCGGTGGAATTTTTTGATGAAAGTTTTTGAGCATGTTCCTCATCAAGTCTAGTTTGTCCATACCAAATTTCATCTCAAAATTCGATCGGGAAGGCAGTCAAATAAATCCTGGAAACAAACTGCACTTTATATGTGCGCAGAATGAGCCATAGTTTTCCAGGATTTATTTGACTGCCTTCCAGATCGAATTTTGAGCTGAAATTTGGTATGTACAAACTAGACTTGATGAAGAACATGCTCAAAAAATTTCATCAAAAAATTCCACCGGAAAGACCCTCTGATGGTCTTGTCCGCACGGGGCTTCTCATCAGGAACTCCTGATGTGAACTGCCCTCTATATGTATGCGTGTAAGAACATGTTAAGTAATGAATAAATGGTAATGCTACTACTGATAAGTGAAGTGAGTCTATGGTCCGGACTAATAAATGAGTCTATCAGACATATAATGGGTCTGGTACATAGGTAGGTGTAATATCATTATGCATGTGAAAGGTACTTCACTTCTGAATTGAAATAGAATTAGTCATTTTAAATCAAGTTAATTGACCATGACTAATCACAAACATAATAAGTACACAGAATGAGTAGTACTACGTATATTACTTGTACGGGGTATTAATTAATTATAGATTTATCACTCGTTAATAAAGAAAGTCTTACCTGAAGAGCTAGAGCACCCCAATAGGCAAAAAAATACTCGAGCCATTTGGGGAGCTTGAAACTCTTGTGACACAAATTCCGGTGATAACCGAGCGTTATTCCAAGGCCGGCGAAGATGTATGTCGCTAACCACACCCCTACACAATCCCAACTGAAACAAAACGGGGCAAACCCGGCCAGCAGGTGAAGCAATGGCACCATCACCATTGTCGATGGCTGACCCGGCCCGCCTCGAAGATATTTCTCCATTGGTACTTTTTTTGTTCTTCTAGCACTTAAACTGATTTGTAGGAGAGGCAATGGAATATAACTTATATGAGCCAGCCCAGGATCGGAGAGATAGATTGTATTCTAGCAAGAAAGAGGTATGCTAATGCGGAAGTTCATTTCATACAAAACCAAGGGATCCTAGGTAGCTACTTATAGTACGTCGTCAAAGTTTTGAACTTAAATGAACGTACTCGTACTCTCGTAGTAGTTAATACATACGTACATTTAATTTCTACCACAATGTTGTATAGGTATCACTCCTTTATAACTTTGTCTACGTTTGACGAACATACATAATGTGATTGTGCTAAAGAGAAATATACCATGAACCACAAAAGGTGTCTGGAATTGATTCTACTTCTACTTCTTTTCTAAAAGAAGAACCAAATAAAAATCCGTTTTTCAAAAGACTATCTTTCGAAATTTCTCAAAAATTACTTCTAGCAGCAATTTGAAGCATTCAGAAATAATTATGCACTTTCATCCAAATATTCCAATATATGTTTTAACTCACTGAAAGAGCAGAAGCAGTTTTAGGCACTAAGGGGGTGTTTGGAACTTCTACTGGAAAGTGCTTCTACTCCTCCGAACAGCACTTAGAAGCAGAATCATTTAATTGAGTGTTTGGATTCAGTTTTAAAAGTACTACTAGCTTCTCCAAATGTGATTCTGCTTCTAACAATTTTATTCCAAAAATATCCTCCTTAAAAAAACCTCGCACCCTCAAAGTCGCAACTCGCAACTCGCAAACCCTATTCCTCAGTATCTCACAGACTCATCTTCTCCATAGGCAATCTTCATCTTTGTGCCCCTGCTCTTGGCCACCTTTTCATGCTCAAAGGTATCACCGCTGGTCTCTTCTCTCATCTCCGGTTTCAATAAATTCAATTTTTTCCTAATGAACCGAAAATATTCAATTTTCCCCAAATTAGTGCTTCCTTAGCTCATTTGGATAAGATTCCATGAGCACTATAACTCATGTTTATTGAATACGTAGATTTTGCAGGTATGGAGTATTATTAATAATATACTTTGAATTATTATAATTATACTTTATTTAGTAAATAACCCAATATAAGAAAATTTACTTCAAGTTAATATTTGTATTCCATTCAAATCAACACAATATGCCCTTTTCGTAATTTTACACAAATAACAGTTTATAACAGCATGTTATCCAAACACTCTAAACTGATTCTCTATTTCAAACAGCAGAATCAATACCAAACACTCCGAACAGAATCACTTTATCATACAACAGAAAATTTTTCTTCTGCTTCTAACTTAAAAATAGAAGCAGAAGCAGAATCATTTCCAAACACCCCATAAATCCAAACACTCCTTAAAAGGAGGGTGTAAATATTTTTTGGATAACAAAAAAGAGGATAAAGTTATAAAGGACAGCAGAGACATAGCTAGAGAAAGGCGTAGCGAGCTCCGACCCACCTCAAATTTGAAAAATAATAATAATTGTATTATACGTAGTATATATATATAGGGGTTAGTTCCTGTGAGAACTCCCTCTTAGGAGAGGGAAAAAGAACAAAATATAACCATTGATATGAATGATCTAATGGACATAAAAAAAGATGATCCTAATTTATTAGCCCCATTATTCGGCTAATTTAGTATATTTGGAATGGAAAGTCTAATATAAATTGACATCAAGGGTATGATTGTCTAATGATACTCAAAACCGTTTTCCACGTTTGGCTCTTTCCTATTATTTAGCAAATATTAATACGCACTATAATAGGAATTCATTCTAAAAAGTAGGCTAATAATTAGTAAGGAGCAACGTACCTCCCTCTTATTCCATTATTTTAATTTCCTTTCCAAAATAAATTTAGTATTATCTCACATATAATTCAGATGAATAATTTGATAAACAATATTTATTCCAATTGTGCATTTTTCACGTTTAATTGTCTTTTCAGATGCAATATTTCATCTACTTAATTTTGTGTATTTGCACTTAAATATTGAATACCTTCACTTTTATTTGAAACATATTGCAACATCAATTTAACTACATATTTAGATATTTTTGCAACCTACAGAGAAATACAAGTTTATTAGGTTAATTTGGAGTATTGTAAACTACACTTTAATGTTATTAATTTGCACTTTTTAGAACATCAATATACCTTTTAAGCATTTAGTTGGACACATCCATACATGTCTGCAAAAAAATTAATATAAATTTACAAGGGTTAAACTATCAACTACGTGCATTTAGAATAATACAAATGTGCACTATTACATCACACTTTCTAAACTTCTACACTGACACTCTTTTACAACATAAAATGCACTTTTATCATGTGCACTTAATTATACATAAAAGTGCATTAGTATATCACACTTTTCCAATAGTTTACATTGACACTTTTTACAAATTGAAATGCACTTTTCTTTTGAAAGCATCATAATTTCCATTATGGTAGTGTCTCTTGATGCCACTTTTATCTGCAATATAAAGTCAGATAAAAACTAATGAAAGGTGCATGAACGGAATATGATAAGTGCATCTAAAATTTAATAAAAAATTTATCATTAATGTCTTATTAGAAGTTAATAATTAACCATTAACAAATCAATCTGTTCGACATTAAACATGTAAAATGCATCATATGATAATGTTAGTGCACTAAATTGTTAGTGCAAATCTACCAATCTAAAACTATGGTAGTACACACACAGATATGCAACAATAACATGTAAAAGTGAAAGAACAAATATATATAGTAGCATCAACTTCAACAATCAACATTTCAATATCTATTAAATTGCCAATTGCAGAACCAAATTAACGTAAACATTAAAACAATAAGGGTGCACAATTGACAAACAGTAAAATCCGTCGAGAGCATATAAATTGTAACAAATAAGCTTGGACCATAAGAAAATTGGATTTAAGAAGAACTTAAACCATGCGAACAATTAATTTTTTATCATGATCCATGTGGAGGATAGGAGATGATACACTCTACAGAGGAAATACACACTCTTCATCGATATAAGAAAAAAATAGAAACAGGGTTTGTAGGAAGAAAATGAAGAATAAGGTGGAGGTCAGAATTAAAATTTCTGATGATAAAAAAGTGGGGTGGGGATTAGAGTGGAGGATGATGATAGTGATGGAGAAGAGCCGATGAGATGGAGAAGAAGATATGAAAGCAATAGATAATTAAAGAAATAAAAAAAATAAAGAGATTGAAATCAGATATGGCAAGGAAAAAATGTAATGGAAGTTATATTGTCACTCCTAAATTAAAGGGTGTCGGTTATGGAAAGACATTAGAATTACTAACTTAGCCTTATACGGATTATTTAAATAATTAGAATAATGGTGCAATCCAAGGGTCCTCATTTATTCTTTTTCCCTCTCCTAAGATTAAGTTCTCACATGAACCTATATATATATATATATATATAGATTTATGTTCAAGTGAGAAAAGCATCTTAGGAGAGAAGTAAGAAAGATTTTACAACGTTAGATCGACCAATAATTATAAATGCCGGAACAAATCTAATCTATTACGATTGAGGAGTTTTTTGTAAACTAACATATGCATTAAATATGTCCGACACAAATCTAATCTATTACGATTGAGGTGTTTTATAATTTTTTTTCATGAGATTCTTACATTTTATTGAGTTATAATAAGTGTACTTTTTTACACATTTAGATATTAAAAAAAAAGCATATGTTAGTTATTGATTTTTAACGAGGTGCACCTTTAATAAGCTCGAGTGCACCTTTACCTAAACAAAATTGCACTTATGTAAAGTGTCAGTTGATGCACTTATGTCATATTATGTTGCACTTTTATATTATGCAAACTAAAAGTGTGAAATGCTTATAAAGTGCATGAGAATTTATTTAAATGTGCATACAATATTTCTTGCAATAATTACCTCTATCCATAGCACAACATAACATTTTATTTTAGCAAAATGTGCAAACGATTTTCTTACTATTCATAACATATTATAAAATCAAATTAAGTGCACTATCAATACAGAGTTATTGCACACTTGTAAATTGTATTAAATAAATCTAAGTTGAACGTGGGTAGCAATGTTTTAAATTAGGCAAGTTGCATGATAATCAAGATAACTTCCATTTTTAGGATTGTACGTGAATAAAAATGTGAATACCAGTGCATGCATTTTTACTCTAACACCCCTATACGATTTGAGCTTTCAAGTTTCATTTAATGTCATTTATTACTTTCCTTGAAAATAGCAATCGTTATGCTAATCATCAGCAAAACATTGGCCATCAGATTAGTAATCTCAACGGTAAGATCTTATTCTTATTTCTCTCCCGGGGCTTCATTCTCACCGGAACCGTTCCCTATATATATATATATATATATATAGGGTAAGGTTCATGTGAGAAGAACCCTTTGGGTGAGAAATGAGAATGAATCCTAGCCATTGGATTCGACTAAGTTGCAGTAAAAGATACTTTATGATGCACTGAAATATGCAATCTAGCACGGTGGCATTTCTGTAAATACTTCTGAAAAATCCGTATTACACGTGTCTAGTGCAACATGAAGCTATTTCGGTGCAACGCCGTCTATAATTAGTGCAACATGAAACAGTTTTAGTGCAACATGTGCAAAATTTAAATATTACTGCAACATAAAACCAATTTTAGTGCAACTTCGTAAATCCAATGGCTGATATTCATTCTCATTTCTCACATTAGATGCATTTCTCACCTGAACCAAAATCTATATATATATATATATATATATATATATATATATATATATATATATATATATATATATTTATATATATATATTTATATTTATATATATATATATATATATATATATATATATATATATATATATATATATATAATTCATCTAAAAAAGAATCTTTATATATAGGGGCCTTGTGTGACCTCTGGATATGCCCCCTGAGGGATGGGAATTGGGAAGTAGTAAAAACTGAATATATATTCCATATAAAGTGTTTCGTCTGTTTCAGTTAAACACACATTGATAACATTTCTTGGTAATTTGTCTCATTAACTTCTTTACTTTTGATTGCAAATTTGCAATAATGTTAAAAATGGTAATTATGTCTGGGTAGATTCTACGATACCCAAAAGGTACCATACCTTTGTACACATGGACCAATCAGATTGTTGCAGTTGAATTATTTAAGTTTATATTAAAAATGATATATCTATTTGGACCCATAATCAAGTGAATGGTAGGTACGGTACCCCATTTTTTAAATGAGTACCGGAGTTCTAACCGATCACCTTATGCTTATTCTTCCCTCATCATGCATATAAAACTCAATTACACCGTTCTTACTTTTGCTATTTAGCTATGAGTTCAAAATTGTTAATGGGGAATGGGATGGAGATATATAGCACTTCCTCCGTCCCAAGTAAATCTTCTCGTCCAGTATTCTCTGGTAAACGTAAATTGATTTTTAACCTTTTACATTATATATCTAACTTTTATTTACTAAAAACAATTTTGTGAATAACACATACGTACTATAAGTCTATAAATAAATTTTTATAACCAGTCAAACATGGTAAATCACCGGAATAGGACACGGGAGGGTGTATCCTTTTATCTCCATCTGGATAGCTAGGTCGTCTCACGTGCTCGTCGGCTCGTCCAGCTCCAAAACCCCACTCGCTTTACCCTTCTCATCATTACGGCTTTGGCTAAGCTTCCTGTACCGGAACAAGCTTAGCTAAGCTATTAAGAGACAACAGAAGTAAATGATGAAATGGGCCGGTCTGTCTTACGTTCTCGACACATGCATGTATGCATTCAACAACTCTGACTACTCAACGCCCCCGTATTTACTCAATAACTCAATTTTTTTTTTCTTTTCAAATAATGAATTCAATGAAATGGTAGAGCCGTTTTTTAGGTCAATAGGTTATCCAGAACAGGGCCCCCGTATTTACGGGCCCCAAAATTTTAAATTTCTTTTAGTATTATAGCTTACGGAGTAATATTATATATTAATACTAATCAGTAAAATACAGTTAGTAAGGAAGAAAATTATAGATCCATTATTTTTTTTGTTGGTCCTTTTACTCTTGCTTCTCTTTAATAAGTATTCAATTGATTTGAATATAAGTAGGGAAATTTGTTGATTCAGTCACATAACTTATAGCTATATCCGATATTGGTCCTATAACTTTATTAACTTGCAATTTACATCCCGTAACTAATAAGTTGGTGCAATTTTGGTCCTTCTATGTCGGAACTTATCAATTTCGTCGGAAAAAGACACATCACCTGCCACATGGTATATTATTTGGAACTCATTTGCTGACTCAATATTGGCCCTTAGCGGGAGTTAAAAAACCAGAGTACGAAAGCTCTTCGCTAAGTGCGTGCACAACCATACCAAGCCTCACTACAACAATATTTCATTTTTATAGCATAATATTATAGCATTTGTGCATCTAATGCTATAGATACACACCCTTAGGAGGCGTTTACTTCACCGGTTATTAAACGGTGCTTATTAAGACCCGTGTTAATAAGCGGTGCATAAAATAAACAATGTTGTAAGACTGTGTTTACTTCAAACGGTTTAAAACACCGCTTAACATTAAAATGTCCAAAATAACCCTATACATATATACACACACAAACATTCATGAACACAAGTATATAATATAAATGTGTACCCATACCCCCTAACCCCTTACCCACCCTACCTTACTCTGACCCCACCTACCCCCTACCCCTACCCTACCTACCCGACCCTACCCCTACCCGATCCCACCCTACCGCGACCCTACCCCCAACCCCATAGGCCCCTACCCCCATACCCCCTTACCGCATCGACCCCACCCTGACCCCACCTTACCCTACCTTACCCCAACCCCGCCCCTACCCCTACCCTACCTTACCCCGATTACCACTACCCTACCCAATCCCACCCTACCCCTACCCTACCCGACCCCACTCTGCCGCAACCCTACCCCCGACCCCACCGCACCTACTCTGCCCCTAGCGCCTCTATCACATTGGCCCCACCCCGACCCCACCACCCCAACCCCACCACCCTAGGTATAGGGTGGGGGTAAAGGGTGGGGTCGGGGTATATGGTGGGATGGGGTAGGTGGGGTAAGAGTATGGTGGGGTGACTGCGGTCAGGTAGTGGTAGGGTGGGTCGGGTAGGTAAGGTAGGGGTGGGGTTGGGTAGGTGGGGTAGTGGTAGGGTGGGTTCGGGTAGGTAGGGTGGGGTTCAGGCGGGGTATGGGGTAGGGTTAGGGTAGGGGTAGGGTGAGGTCGGATAGGGTAGGGGTAGGGTGGGGTTGGGTAGGTGGGTAAGGGGTGGGGTAGGTTTGTGGTCTGGTAGGTAGGGTAGGGGTGGGGTCTGGTAGGTAGGGTAGTGGTAGGGTGGGGTCGGGTAGGGGTAGGATGGGGTAGGGTAGGGGTAAGGTGGGGTCAGGTAGGTGGGGTAAGGGTAGGGTGGGGGTCGGTTAGGTAGGGTAGGGGTGGGGTAGGTAAGGTAGGGGGTAGGGGTGGGGTAAGGGTAAGGGTAGGGTGGGGTCGGGATAGAAGATGTAGGGTAGGGGTGGGGTAGGTGGGGTTGGGGTCAAGGTGGGGTCGGTAGGTAGGTGGGTCAGGGGTAACAATAGGGTAAGGGCAAGGGGTAAATTCGGAAACTGAAAAAGCTTAAAGTGCCGCTTAATTAATACATGGGGGTGTGGTAGGCTTAGTAAGCGGCACTTTAAGCACCTATTTCGGTTAGTAAGCGGCTTTTTAAGCAGCGTGCGTGTTTACTTCACCTGTCTTACTAACCTAACTGTGACTTTAGCAGCGAAGTAAACGCCTCCTTAATCTTAATTATTACTCTGAAATAAAAAAATAGGCATTTAATAACAACAAAAAACCGCTATGTTACGGTAGACATGCCTGAAATAAGAAAAAGCGGGGCAAAAAAAAACCAAGCTTCAGGTTATTGTAAAAATTTAACCCTACATCTCATCTCTCATTTTCACCGCTTCTCCTTCCCCGATCTCTCTCCAAGGCATGCTATCATTCGGTTCTTCATAGTTCATTACAGCGGCTATCAAACTAGGATCCATTACTATGTCATCTTCGTAAGTAATTATCATATCTTCTACACTTTATCTTCTATAGAACCAATTTCGATTGAGATTTTTTCCTTGCTTTTGATTTGGTTTTATTTATTTAGATTATACTTTCAATTTCATTATCTATCCAAGTTCAATTTGAACTCATTTGAGTTCGGTCTTCTCTATGGCCGATCAAATCCAGGCCTCTCTTGAACTCAATTCGAGTTCGGTTTTCTCTGTGACCGATCAAATCTCTGTGGCCGATCAAATCCAGGCCTCGGTTGAAATTCAAATTGAGTTCGGTCTTATATATCCATACATATGTCCACTTTGCACACTCTAGAGACTAGAAAGAGCCCTGAATCTGATGGTGGTAGTTAATAACTTTAATTTCTACATAGTCATCAATTGAGGGTAAAAGAAAGAGGAATTTCAAGGTCAATCAATCATATACCGTACACTCAAGTCCTATATGTCGAAGTGTTTTATGCAATGATCCTATTTAAGCAATTTACGTTAGCAATAATACTTCTAATTGTTTGGCAACTTCCTGTTTGGTTAACTCTACTCATATTGGGAACATTACAATTGAGTTAATCAAACAATTGAGGTTTTTTGTCATATGATCAAATACCAGTTATTCACTATGACCACTAACTCTACTGATATTCGGCTAGGAATATGGAAGCATATATATATTTATAGTTTATAATCAAACTTCTAATTAAACAATTGAGGTTCCTTCATTTTTGCAAGGGCACACCAGAAGACTTGTCAATTTGTTTCCAGGAGTTGATTGAAGAGCTTGTTTATTACCTTAATCAGGTTAGTATGCTGCTAGTTTTAGTTGTTTAGACCATTTAAAAAATTTTTATACAATAATATAAACTACTTAGAGTGTAACTAACAACTCATGCACTTTAAAATAAAATAAGTGGGAAGCTGCCAAAACCGAAACTGAAAAGATGCTTTTGAAATTGAATTCATAAGATAAGGGACACTTTAGTAAGACATCTATATCTTGTTATTGATATCAATTACCTCACTGGATCGTATGCTTTTCGATACTCTTGACTGCTTCACATTCAAATAAATGAGTTTTTAATCAAGGAAGATGGATTAGTAGTTTACACTCATTTTCAGCAATAAAAGCCTTATTATGCATACTCAATATAAAAAAAAAGTCAAAAGTTACCACTGTGTATGAGCTTAAGTTATTAAATAAGTTGGTTAAGTACTTAAGTACATTATTTTAAAGCTAACCCAAAATCTGTATGCAGTGGTCCTAATAGCTGGCAAACACAAATGAAAAGTTGGAATCTGAACTAGCCAATTGTGGTCCTCCAATTATTGTTAATTGTGTTGTATTGATTGGTCTCACCTGATTTTGCTTTGCTTTGCTTGTTAGTGTGTCGTGTTGGCATTTTCACTATATCATAGCTAGTGTGTAATTTACTAAGTGACCTCTTATGTGATTGTTTGTTATGAATGACCGATTAGATTTTGCATGTTTAGTTTCATTTTAATATTAGAGAAATTGCTTCCACCAACCATCATGCAAGAGATGATGGATAAAGATTGGGTGTGGCTTCACGGGTAAGAATATTATCTTAGTTTATTAGTCCACTAGTATTAAAAAAAATGTAGATGTATAACTAGATATAGCATGTGCTTGTTCTTGCTATTCTGAAAATCATAGATCCACTCTCGAGTACCAACAAAAAGCATTAAAGTTTGTGCATACGGCTGAAAGGAATCTGGGATATCCTGCAAGGATGTTCTGCCCTTGCAAAGATTGTCGTAATATGAGCCATCAAGATGGGAGTACTATATTTGAACACTTGGTTACTAAGGGGATGGACCTTTCATACCGAATGAAGCCATGTTGGACTAAACATGGAGAAAAAAAAGAAACTAATGAGATGCTTGGTTCTGAAACTGCTAGTGACGAGACTTATAATTTATTCAAAGCTGCCTACTTTATGGATGGAGGACTTTCCCAGGCAATACCTATTGATGAACCCACAAGTCGTAATAGTGATGATGAATTCATGAAGAAGCTCGAAGAAGCACAAACTCCTTTGTATCCAGGATGCGAAACATACACAAAGTTGTTAGCTATTGTAGATTTGTATGGTCTTAAGGGTCGAAGTGGAATTTCGAGTAAATTTTTTAATGAGCTATTAAGTATAATTCAGCGCATGTTGCCAAAGGAAAATGTTTTGCCAGATTCAGTTGCATCAATCAAGCGCTTCTTCAAGAGATTTAACATGGGGTATGAAAAGATTCATGCTTGTGTGAATGATTGTTGTCTCTTTAGAAAAGAGTATGCAGATTTGGATAATTGTCCGAAATGCGGCGCATCACGGTGGAAGACAAATATGCGTACTAACCAAATACGACAATTCATTTGGTATACTAGTCAATTATCTCATGTGCTTCTTCTTTATCTATTTTGAATTATTAAATTTTAAAGTTAGAGATAATATTATGTTTGGAGTTTTTTTTACTAACTATAAGTTGTGGTACATTGTAGGGTATGAGTCCTAAACTCCATGGTAAGTGCAAGCGTTTAGATTGGTGTGGAAATGATGAGGTTGTAGCTGAAGGACACTTGTGCTCTAGTGATCCAAAAGGGCTTGTTAATAATGCTCCTCTTGGACCTAATGCAATGGAAGTGATGGTCGACATTACAAAATAAACCAGATGCTTTTCTTTGGAGGCCTACATCTAAGATGTTATGCATGAAACAAGCTGTTGGTAAGACAATTGCATGGCCAGTTGATAAGGTGGTGAGGCAGATTACTCAAAATTCTGAAAATGAAGATAATACCTCCTTAAATATGGTAAAAACTGCATTTTTATATATTTCTATTGCACATCTCATGGATATGACATTTATAGTAAACCAGTTCTTATGTCTTCATTTATTGGTAGGGTACAAATATGAGCCATATCAGGTGTACGATATTCAATTGGGCTGGAAAAGATGAAATTGTTGCTCAAGGTTATTGGATTTCTAGTGATCCAAAAATGATTGTTAACGGTATTCCACTCGGACCTAAAGCCATGATTGTGTGGATTGATGACATTATAAAGCCTGAATGTTTTTTGTGGAGACCTACACTAGACATGACATCCATCAAAGATGTTAGTGGAACCAAAATAGCATGGCCTAGTGATAAGGTTGTATTAGAAAATATCTCTAATCACATCAATTTGCAGTCTGCAAACAAATCATCATCTTCTCAGGTACTTATATTTGTTTATAAGCATTACTTTATATTTGACGAGGTCTTTTATTTTCCATAGTTAATGTTATTTTTTTCCCAGAGTATAAACAATTCAAAGAAAAAGTGCAACTTGTTAGATATCAGTGGCTCAGGAAAGATAGTTGCTGAAGGACATTGGTCATCAAGTGATCCAAATCAACTTGTTCACTTTGTCCCTTTAGGTCCTAATGCAATGAGGGTGTGGGTTGATATGCCTAGGATCCCTGATGCACTTCTTTGGAGGCCAACATCTGAGTTGGAGTGTATTGAAGATGCGGTTGGTACTACAATAGCTTGGCCATCAAACAAAGTTGTTATGCTTTAATAAGCTGGTAAGTATTTTTAATTGGCCACAATAAGTGAAGATTAATTGGCTACTTTGAAATCTAAGCTGTATTTGTTAAGGGCTGAAATCATGAATTGATGTGACCAAATTTGTAAAGATTAAAATACAAAACTAAACTGCTAAGCAAAGTAATGGATCGCTCGATTAATGGTATTGTAAATCCACCAACTGAAGATCAGTTAGCCATAGCCAAATTCTCAGTTACATGGCCATGCCCATTCTTATATATTTAACTCATTTATTGTCAAATACCTTATGTTTGGTAAGTGAATGGGGGGGATGCTGTCATTTCCAGAAATGTGAAATATTTAATTGAGTTTTACAATGACATACATGTGCTTGTTGTTTATTCTTTTTTTGGTAGATGTTGTTTATTCTTTTTAATGCCATATTGATAATTTTCTACTACTTTTGTTCTGAGATTAGTTAGGCTTCCCCAACCTCTACTACGCTGCTAAGTTTGTTGTGCGGTATAAGGTTCATCTACTGTGAGGCTACTAGTTCTATTCTGAAACTTCTGTTTGTCATCCTTGATCCTAGATAGGCTAGGGTAGCAGTGTACTGATATCACAAGGGGACTTCAATCTTAATATAACTATCTAACCTAGATAGGCTAGGTTAGCAGTGTATTGATATCACCATCTTATCCTCAAATAGTTTTCTTTATTTAATAATTCAAAAAATTGGTATTTTAGTTTACTTTCTTTCCTACATTTTTTTATTCGGTGTAGGAAAAAACTGTTTTATAGAATTTAGTACTGCTGTGGAGTTTTAAATTACTGTTTTCTTTAATTATTTGCTACGTACAACTCTAACTTACAGAAGTTTGTGATATGTGTTTGGTTCAATTGATAAATAAAATGAGTTGAATCCACTAATGTTTATTTTGCTAGGAAAGAGAAGAATGTGCATATAAAGATGAAAGTATATTTAGGAGAATTCTCATTGTTGGTGTTGTTTCCGTCTTCTTTTTTTTTGCAGAAATGTTTGGGCTCAATTGGTGAAGATGAAGTCATATGTGATGCTGAAAAGTCACCAACTTTTTTACTACTATGTTTGATGTATCACCATCTTGGATGATCGAAGAGAACTTTTTAGTTTGTTTTTGTAATATATTGAATATGTTGGAGAATGCTATGGATTTAAAGTTGTGTCAATAAGTACTTTTAAATGAAGTATCTATTTGAAACTAATTTTACATTCAATCTACAGTGTGAAATGCTTTCAATATTAATTTAATAGAATTTAAATGAAGGCGAAAAGTACACAAATGCTTTGATAGCAGAACTACAATGTTATTTTTTTTTGCTTTCTATAGCATATCAAAAGTGCTGGGATAAAGTCATTGATGTATTATAGCAGTTTTATTTTGTGATAACAAAAGAAATGCTATGCTTGTGACCTTAGTTTGATAGCGTGTGTAAAATGCTATAGTTAACTGATTTTTATAGCAGTTGGTCAAATGCTATAAAAAGCCTCACACTTTCCATAGCAGCTCCTAGCATAGCATTTCATGCAATGCTATGGAATGATAACATAGCATATTTCAACTGCTATTGATTGATTAACATGGTGTAGTGCCTATTATCGGATCTGCAAAAGGGCGGAAGAACATATAACTCTAGCTGAAGATTTCTCCTAAACTAAGTCGAGAGAGCGAGTTATTCTTCAAATCTGCTAGTAACGGCTCTCGATCAGACAAAAATTTATGGAGTGTGATTGTGGTAAAAAGGTTTCTCTTCTAACTTCTTGGACTGATAACGATCCTAGAAGGAGGTTTCGTGTGCGCGCTAGAAGCAGAGTAAGAAGTTCAGCTTTTTAATTTACATTGTTCGCTTCTTGTTTTACTAAATAAACTAGAAATTTAAGAATAGCATTTGAATAATAAATTTGTTTGAAAATTAAAATGTATTTTATATTTTAAGCTAGGTCTTGCTAATAAAATTACCATCTTCTATTTGTTGGAGGAATTTGATAATGTATTTTTGTGTTCAAAGCAGTAAAAAGTAAGTTAAACTTCATCTTGTTTTGATACAAACAGAAGATTGCAGATTTTTTGAATGGGGGGACCCACCTATGTGCCATCGTTGAACGATGATAATTCCGGAATTAGTTAGAAGACTCAATTCAAAAGAGGAAGAGGTTGTAAAGCTGAAGGCTAAAAATAAAAGGCTCATCATAGTTGTTGTGGGGCTAGTGTTTTTGCTCCTGGTCTTTCTCATGTTAAAGATGTGAGAAGTGAAGATGATGTAACATTTCAAATGCTTTATTCTTAAAACATGAAGTTAAAAAGCTTTAAACTTCATTCAAAATGTTCCTGCTGCGACCAAGAAGAAATAATTCTTTAACTCTAGCTAAGGGTCAACATTGAGTCAGCAAATGAGTTCCAAATAATATATCATGTGGCAGGTGATGTGCCTTTTCCGGCGAATTTGGTAAGTTCCGGCATAGATGGACCAAAATTGCACCAACTTATTAGTTACGGGATGTAATCTGCAAGTTAATAAAGTTACAGGACCAATATCGGGTATAGCTATAAGTTACGGGACTAAATCAACAAATTTCTCATATAAGTATTTAGATTGATATTTTTTAATAAACTTTTTATATTAATTTGGGGCCCCGATTTTACATTTAGATCTAGGGCCTCCAAATTTATTAGAAAGCCCTAGAAATGATCATCCATTCATCCATTTATAAATGTTCATAGGATTTTAATATATTTCAAGAAATTACATATCCTTCTACCTATCATCTTGTGAGTCGATGATGTTGCTATAACATTCTCCAAATACATATGGGAAATCGTCTAAATTCAAGGATATTAATATTTAAGATTGAGTAGATACTATAATAGTCATTGAACACAGTAAAAATTATATTTCCTCTATTATTGTTAATAAATGCGTTCTCCATTATTAAATAAATGCAACGGTCAATATTTCACATTTGCCGAGATACAATTTTAATCAATAATATATATAATTCTCTATTAGTAAAAAAATAAAAGAAAAATAGATTTTGAAAGTTTACAATAACACAAATTTAACAATATTTTTTATAAAAAATATGTTAATACATTAATAAATTGAACGTAGTCAAAGTAGAACATGTGAGTAGTGTAAAATTCAACATGTTGCATTTATTTAAAAATGGATGTAGTACTTATGATAAAGAATAAAGCAACGAGTATACACTGTTATTATGATTATCTTACCTACCTATGTAGTACTCCCTCCGTCCCCTTTTAAATGGGACGGGAGATGGTGGCACGAGTTTTAAGAAAAGTGAGTTTGTGTGGTTGATATTAATTGATAAAGTAAGAATAAAGTAAGAATGATTTTGAGCCACACAAAGTTTACCAAATAAGGTATGGAGCAATTAAATAGGGACATCCCAATATGGTAAAACGGGACATTTAAAAGGGGACGGAGGGAGTATTAAATACCATAAAAAACCTACCTATTAAATTATACATGGACAGATGAACCCTGTATTTGTGTGTATTTTTTGAGGGGGAAATAATATTATTCATAAGTTTATTACTTAAAATGAAGACTAAAAAGTGTTATTGAAATTTGAAATGATTAGATCGGATAATTAAAGTAAAAGAGAGCTCTTCTCATCAGGCCGGCCTGACGGGCTGCCCCGTCCGGCCGAGCCCGTTTGGGCACCTTCCCGGTGGAATTTTTTGATGAACTTTTTTGAGCATGTTCCTCATCAAGTCTAGTTTGTCCATACCAAATTTCAGCTCAAAATTCGACCGGGAAGGTCGTCAAATGATTTTTGCAAGTTAACTGGTCCGGAAAATACATATTCCGGACCAGCTCATGTGAAAATTTACTTCCTTGTGTAGGAATGAGTGATGTGGTATCCGCAGTGAGAATCCAATGACATGGCAAAAAACTACCATAATTTGGGAAATAAGTTTAAAAGCACCTTAGTTTGGGAAATAAGTTTCAAAAACACCTTTTCATGGGAAAACACTCTATTTTCTACCTATTGGTCATGAGAATGTGTAGTAATTATAAAAACATTATCATTATTTTTAAACAATGGCATTTATTGTTGCTTAATTGTATGACTTTGATTTTTAAACAATGACATTGAATTTGAACAATGACATTGATTTTTGAACAATTCCAATGACACTAAATTACATTTTTGAATTATGACATAGTAAATTTTTACAATGATATTACATTGTCAAGTATCTCAATGTCATCATAAAAAACAATGTCACTTTTTGACAATCTCACAATGTCGTTTTTATAACATTGAAATTGACATTGTCATTATTACAATGTCAATATTTAAATCATTGACATTATCATTTTTACAATGCCATGTTTTCAGAGTGTTGGTGTTGACATTGTTATTATTACAATGTCAATATTTAAATTATTGACATTGTCATTTTGACAATGTCATTTTTTCAAAGTGTTGGTGTTGACATCGTCATTATCATTATTTGACATTGTTATATTTTTCCTGATATTATAATAAATTGTCAACAATGTGTTTTTCTACGAAAGCAGTGTAATTTTTCATAGGATTGCCATTTTTGATATTTTTTATTACAACGTCTTATTACTTTTTATAGCATTGACATTAACATTATTACAATGTCATTTTTATAGCATTGACATTGCATTTACCATTATTTGACATTGTAACATTTTTAACAATGACAATGTATTATGTATATCATGACAGTCATTGACAATGTTTAAAATATCATGAAATTGTTTATTTTGATAATGTTTACAATGAAAATATATTGTAAAATGTGATAATTTTGGAATTTTATCAATTCAGGACTCGAAAGATAGATGAATTATCAACCCGGGATCTGAAAGATGAAATGTAGCGATATAAGACCTGAATGATGGAAATCTATCAATTTAGGACATGGATGATTGAAAATTATCAATCTAGGACCTAAATTGTCGTGAATTTTATTATTATTTTTTATATTAATTTTTTAAATATTATTTAGTTTTATTAAACTAATAAACTTTTGTGAAGAGAAGTTTATCAAAAATTACCAATGGAATAAAAGTTAAATAACTCAAAACCTATGAAATGTTAGGTCCTAGATTGACAGTTTTCCATCATTTGGGTCCTATATCGATACATTTGATCGTTCGGGTCCCGGACTGATAATTCATCTATCGTTCGGGTCCCAAATTGATAAAATTCCTTTTAAAGAATTTTGACAATTAATTTGATGTCAATTTCCAAAATAAAGCAATAAACCCTAATAAAATTAGAGTAATAAAACAGTGTTATTAATAATGAATCACGGTGTAATAAGATTTATTCTCTAATCACCAATGAGATGTTTTCAATAATTAAAATGTTACAGTGTTGAACAGTTGTCATTGTTTTTAAGTTCAACAATGATACTCCGTATGATTCATCATCAGTAATGGCATTATAAGGGTAAATGACTAAAATGAATTAAAGAAATAATAATTAGAAAATTAATATACAAATTAAACACACAATAAATTAAAAATGCATTAAGAAATTGAAAAGGAAATTAAATAAAACAAAACGAAAGAAGAAGCAATATACTGCAAGAAGTTTGACGGAAACAAAAGTAAAGGAATCGACTAGCGAAATTGATGGGAACAAAAATTTTCAAGCCGGCAAAAACTGAAAGATCGGCGAAAGAAAAGATGAAGAACAGAGTCCGGCAACTACTTCGACAAATACCAGCGGCAGGTCCCTTTGGAGACAAGCTGCGGCTGACCAGCAGCGAAAACTGCGCGTCTCGAATGGGCACCGACCAAAAAATTACTCCAGTGTTCTCCAATGGCCTTCCTCTACGACGGAAAACATGAGCGGATGTTTATGCGTTGGCAGCTGCTGAGCGAGTATCTAAGGGTACTTTTGTCACTTCATTCAAAAGTTGGTTCTATTAAGGATATAAAAAGTTGGGAAAATGGAAACTAATAATCCAACCTTTTAGCGGTCTTCTTTTAATAATCCCACATTTTGATTATTCATGAATAATCCAACCTTTGCACCACATCTTCATTCACTGGTCCTTGACCGGTTGATGACCTGTTATTCCAAGCTATTTTCTTATCTTTGCAAATCATTATACCATAAATTTCATCTTTCACAAAGATAAAATTTTGCAAAGATAAGAAAATAGCTTGGAATAGCAGGTCATCAACCGATCGGGGACCAGTGAATGAAGATGAGGTGCAAATGTTGGATTATTCATGAATAACCAAAAGGTT